TTGCTTTCTCCTCAGTGTACACCTTTTGTGAAATCTACTCATCCATCTTTGCGAAGCTGTGGCCGTGACTGATACTCTCTGCACCTCAATAGGACACTGTGTTCTAACAACCAGCTCAGAAAGTCCTCACTGCCACGTTGGTGACTGGGTGTAGCACACTGCATCGGTAGGCAACCTAACACTAAATTCACCTTAAAAAAATTTTTTTTAACTTCACTGGCACATTAATTTGAAAACTTAAATGGTCTAAGAGCCTGAGGATGCTTTTACTTTGTATTGTAACTAAGATTATTTTACTTCGGAAGCTGTTGGGTAGGAAATGCCAACTTCTCCCTACAAGGAAATAAGGATTCTTTGTCAATTCTACAGACTCTGGAAAATGAGACAAGCAAGGAAATAAAAAAATAAGGTCTATTTCCAGTTCAAGGGTGGGTCATATTCTTTACTGTGAAGCATCCAATCCAGGATTACACATAGAAGAATTCTTACATGGTCTGGATATTCATCTCTATAAATTCACTGCTTTATTTATTTTTTATTTTATTTATTTATTCATGAGAGACAGAGCGAGAGAGGGAGACAGATGCAGAAGCAGGCTCCCCGCTGAGCAGGGAGCTCAATTCGGGACTCGATCCCAGGACCCTGGGATCATGACCCTAACCAAAGGCAGACGCTTAACTGTCCGAGCCATCCAGGCACCCAAAATTCACTGCTTTAAAAAAACATATACTCAAGGGACACCTGGGTGCTCAGTCAGTTAAACGTCCAACTCTAGGTTTCGGCTCAGGGTTGTGAGATCAAGCCCTGTGTTGGGCCCCACACTCAGCAGAGTTTGCTTGAGATTCTCCCTGTCCCTTTCACTCACCCCCTCCTCTCTCTCTCTGAAATAAACAGAATCTCAAAAAGAATTTACTCAAGACAGTATATACTAAACATGCACCCCAGCCATTAACTTCTTGGGCTTTTGTAGTCATTAAACAAATCACAGAAGTATATGAAAAGTGACTAAAAAAAGCAAATTCAGAATTTTTAATTTGTTGAGGTATATAAAACATGGGAAATTGATTTTGCAGGGACCTAAAAAGGATATCTGAGGTCAACTTGTCACTGTGACTTAGAACTCAAATCATTTGCCAAACTCAAGAGATACAGCACACAAATCTTTAATTTCTAGAGTATACATTGTTTCCTTTAGATTTAATAAAGACGACAAAAGCAAAACACTGAAGCTTTTTAAAAAATCTAGTGCCAAACCTATAAATTGTTAACATTGTTTATTAAGAATTCACGGTAATTGTCTTGCAGTTTGCAGATGCCAAGAAGTCATGGCAACAAAATTATAGAATAGTGTTACATAGATTTAAAATTAAAAAAAGTAAAATGCTTTGAAAAAAATTATTATAGAATAAATTACATTTTAAATCAGAATGACCGACAAGCTTACGTGGACCATCTGGGCTGCCGTTTAGAGCTGCTTGACCTTTAAAACTTCCAGCTAAAGCAGGGGAAAAGCAGCAAAGGCAAGGCAGGCAAGAGCATGGGACTGGTTCTGAGATGTGGGTACTCACTCCTCTTCTCTGGGCCTCAGAATTCTCCTTCGTGAAGTTGGAACAGATCATCTTTCATAGATCTTAAAAGCCCCCGAACTCAAGGTCCCTTTCTAATCATGAACAGCATAGCAGACACCATTTTGGATGAGGGCATAATCCCCTTTGAGAATCACTCCTGGAATCACAACTAGGCTTTTCTCCTGTCCTGTTTCATCACTCCACACACTCCTGAAACCTAATTTATCCTGTTCATCAGACAACAGCAGAACTATAAAAACGTTCAGAAGCAGGCATTTAGGAGGTTCTTTTAATGCCTAATAATTACATGAAACATGACAAAGACAGACACAAAAGCTGTTAATAAGTCAAAGTGAAAGGAGCCTTTTTAATCTCTTTTGTGTTGTGAAAGGTGGAAAATCTTTTGCTTTTTGTTAAACCTTTACGTTGAAGACTTCCCTCCACAAAAGGTGCCTTTATTTGTACATACTTTAGATGTTGGGTTCAAAGTTTCCTGCAATTTGTGGGCACTTGAGTGTTGAGATCTTTTTTTTTTTTTTTTTAAAGATTTTATTTATTTATTTGACAGAGAGAGATCACAAGTAGGCAGAGAGGCAGGCAGAGAGAAAGGGGGAAGCAGGCTTCCTGCTGAGCAGAGAGCCCGATGCGGGGCTGGATCCCAGGACCCTGGGATCATGACCTGAGCCAAAGGCAGTGGCCCAACCCACCGAGCCACCCAGGTGCCCCGAGTGTTGAGATCTTGTGCTAAACTCAGGATCGTAGGTGAAAGGAAACCCAGGATTGGAGATGTTCTTAGGGCCGCTCCTGAACTGAAGATATTCTCCCCTCCAGATTTGCATTTTTTCCACTGTATGGTTAACAACTGGCTTCTATATTTTCTGTGAAGGGTGTAATAACTTCCACAAGATGGCTAAAGTTCATCTTCCATTACTAAAATTTATGGCTTTTACTTTAGTAAACAATTTGTAAAGTTTTCTTACTGACCTCAAAGATGAAAGACTATATAATACAGCGATTAGCATTGTGCTAGTAATAATGCCTAAGAAAAGTTCCATTCTCTTCTCTTCCTGTAGTGTACCGCCAAGTAAATGTTTGGCTAAAAAATGTTTAAACAAGGCCTCATACCCATCTATACTTTGATGAAGGCCTACACTATGTGGCAGTTTAAGGCTGGCTCAGCGGATACTGATCATCTGCCTCTTCAGTTCTAACCCCCGTAAGACACAATGATCCAAACCCGATGATTCTAGACTGTATCAAAATGTGCCTTCACTACATAAAGATTTACCGTTCTGACTTCTCTCTGCATTTTGCATCTTTTTTTAAATTCTGAGGAAATGTTGTTCTATATAAAGATCCTCTTTCTTTAGTTGAGGAGAAAACTAGTCTCTGCAGATAAGTTTGGGTCCTCTACTGTGAAAAACAAAAACTATTTCATTTCTTTTAGCAGCCAGAAACTTTAGAATCAAAATCGTTGTCCAAGCTTTACTTGCTAAGTGGAGTTGCCTGAAGCTACGTAGTTCTATGCTGTTTTAATGTTGAATGTCTTCTTTAAAGGCTCTATTTTGTAGGCCTCTTCATGCCCTTTTAAAAGAAAATAGGATACACATTTCAAAAATATAGTTACAAGTGACTACAGTTAATGTAGTTAAGCATACTGTATTAGTTTCTATTACAATGTATGTGTTAAAGATGGACTTAACAGCTGTTTTTGTAATGGATATAATTTTACATAGAAAATATGCTAGTTTTCCTTCATGAGCATGAAGAATGAGATCACAGTTATATTAAATATTTACTATGCTGTTCAAATGTTGGCTGGCTACTAACTACTAGAATGCCTATTCAACATAGCTACTGAAAGAATTTCTATCTAATCTGGCTCTGGCTCATTAGTTCAATGAATACTACATTCATTTAGTCTTTCTACCTTCCAAAATTGTATTTTTAAAACAGGAAATTATGCGGACTTTAAAAAATGTTAAATCATGAATATATAGTATTTATAGGTTTTTTTAATCTCCTGGATATTATGTACTTTAAAAAACGAAAAATGTGATATAAGAAACATTTTGAAGGGGTATTTTATATGTATCATATTTAAAGGTCCCAGTTTTCACTAATCTGAGAAAACCCATAGATGTGGTATCTTAAAAAAATCAATGAAATTCAGTGAAACTTCAATCTCTCATTTCATTGAGAATTTACTACAAAAAAATACCAAAATGAGAATTGACCTCTTTTAAATGGCATGTCTGTATTAGTTATAATTTGATAAACAGATTTCTTCCCATATTTATCTTAAGATTCAAAATCTCAGTGCAATAACATGATTGAAGAATCATGTAACAATGTATATTTTAATATAAGATTTGTGTAGTGATTTAGAATAAATAACACACAGAGAAAAATTTATCAGAAACTAAATGCAATAACAAAAGGAAACAAAAGCTTATGTACACATTACCGAGGTCTTTACAATAAGTTAATACGTGTAGTTCCATCATGGCACATTTGTATACAAAGCCACTAATGTGAACACTGGAAGAAATCTCTCGTGTAGGTCTTTAATCTTGATTTAATAAAGTTTGTACAGTATCAAATAATATCAAAAGTCTAAAAAAACACAATGAGTTTTTATATCATGTTTATAAATTATTGTTTATAGACCATAAAAAAACATAAGGTCAAAAGTGCAGTTTAAAAAAAAGTGGAAGTTGTTATTCTTGGTAAGAACTAGAAAAATGTACTGTCCCAAGTAAGAAGCAATCTGAGGGCTCTTAGAGTTTCTTAGGAATTTTCCTTTAACTATCATACAACCTTGGCTACTATATGCCATAACATAAACCAGTACAAAGGGAGCAAAATCATCTTCTTATAAAAATATCCGGAAACACAAATCTGGTGATGAGAAATGCTGTAAAGAAACATAATTACAGGCCTCCCCCAAAATGAAAGAAACGACATTGCGCACAGGAATGAATAGGCCACCACTGCATGTGACCAAATTTGGGAAAATTCAAAGAATTTCTAGAAGTTTTAATCTTTTTCAAGTTTTTAGTCATGACTGGCAAGAGTGCATATATCCCAGGATTATGAAATCTTCTACTGTAAGACAAAATATGACTTAAAGGTGATAAATCTTATCATCTACTATTCACAAAAGATAAGGACTAAGGATCCAGTAATTAAAAGGCAGCAGTATAGAAATTAGTCAAGAAGAAACAGATGGGTGCGACAGAACTCTAGGTCTTCATTGGCACTTAGCATAGTAACAAGTTATATTTTGACAAATTCTAGAACAAATGCCTGTATTGAAATATGTGTGGTACAGTAACCATTTATATTTAAGAAACCAAAATGGTAAAATCATGGACTTAAAAAACAAATTAAATTTAAAGAAAAGAAAAACAAAAGGAATGTAGAGACGAATCTTATTTTTTAAACTTATTGTGGGATCAAAATGTTGACAAGCTGTATCAACCAGAGCAGTTTCTTGTTCTAAGCCTAACAGGCAGTCTGAGCCAGGCTCAGCACCACCATTCCCCTCTTCGGATACTATTTTGCTCATACCTTGTGTGTGTGACACCAAGCAATAGTGACTGTTACTTTGTTCATGGACTGGAGTAGGTCCCTTGATTGGTTTAACACATAGGCTGCCTGAGACAATAAAAGCTTCACCATTACAGTAGGTTAGTGGGAATGAAGGTCTTCCTAGTTCTGATACGAGAAAAGGGTTGGCGGCTGAAGAGTATGGGTGCTCAGTAGACTGCATACGTACACACTTAATAACTAATGTCCCCTTAGTAGAAGATTAAAAATCAATGGATATGGACGCTTGTGCAGAATCTTCTCGCCCCCTGACATAAATCTCACAAGGAATCTCCTCCATTACTCTGTCTTCTAGGGCCTGTTCAGGGCACTCATGTGCCTGTTTGAAAGTGTAGCTACTCTTTTTGAAGGTGCTGTTAAATGTTTTCATTGGCTGTGGTTGTGCAAAATCATTTCGGAAAGGCAGTTCCATGGAACTCAGGTTGGTCCTGCTCTGTTTGACACTGGATGCTTGTGACCCACAGTGATGGTCATGAATGCAGCGGGAGGCGGTGGAGGAGCGCCGCATCTTCTGGTAGTTGTCCAGTTCTTCTGACAGGTCGGCCAAGTCTGCAGAAATCTCTTTGTCCCTTAGGGAGAACAGCTCATAATGAGGAGGATCAAACACTTCCTGAAATCCAGTTTTATTAAATGCAGTTTTACAAGCCATGACCTTTTTTCGAGGCTGTTTCACTTGTACTAAAATAGAAATAATGAGAAGGACCAAGACAATCCCTGATGTGATGCCAATAATTGTTCCATGGGTTTTAGTGACTTGTTCAAACAGTCCTGCTTTTTTCTTTTCTGTAGAAAGAGAAACAATAAGCCTTTCAAAATTCATTGAGTTCTGTCACAAGTTGGTAAAATATTTTTAGGTAAAGCAGAACACGTGGTTCAAATATACTATAGATGATGCCATTTAAAATTAGGTTTTTAAACAAATAAAACAATCCCATTAAGATTTCTGGTTAAACGAACCAATGACAATATAGTCGGATAGATTACCTAAAAGAAAAAGGACTTGGTTCTTTTCTCAGAAGGTACATGAAGGCATACAATTTGCAAATCAAATTAAAAACATGAATCTAGGGGCTCCTGGGTGGCTCAGTTGGTAAAGCGTCTGACTTCAGCTCAGGTCATGATCTCCAGGTCCTGGGATCGAGCCCCGAATCGCATTCCCTGCTCAGTAGGGAGTCTGTTTCTCCATCTCCCTCTGTCCCTCCCCTCACTTGTGCTCTCTCTCTCTAATACATAAATAAAATCTTAAAAAAATAAAATAGAAAAATAAAAACATGAATATAGAGAAAATGCCCAAAGAAATACTCTTGTTCTATCAGGTCAGGTGAGCTTTCTGCTCTGTGGTGTTTGGCCAACTGCCACGCTGAAGTATATCCACAGTATTCCTTTTTTTTTTTTTTCCCCCACTGTATTTCTACTGATGGCCATCAGCAAGACAGGACTAAAGTGATCAGGATAACCCACTGAGGTATTTCATCAAGATCCAACCTTTGAATGATTATCTGATAATACTTTAAGTCAAGTACTTAAGAAGCCATATCAGATCACACTAAATTCTCATAGTAAGATATTCACTGAACTCTTGGAGGATAGAAGGCAGGTAAACTTTAAGACTGAGACAGTGATTTGATAATGCCTGTAGATATTCAGTTATTACCACAAGTCATGTTTACCTTAGATATACACTAGAAATATAGCATAGAAAATTTTATAAAATGAAAAAGCAGTTCTTACCAGCCTACTTTTACTGCTTTTTAAGACTGAATCCATCAGTATTTATTAAATAGTATTACTGTACAATTTTAAAAATACTAGTATTCCAGGTCACTTTCTAAATTATTCTGAGAATAAGGTATCTTTACAATACTAATGACTAAAATAACACATGAAATATTATGGCAGACTTTTGAACAACTTCAGATAAAAAACATAGTACATAAAAAAAAGAATACTTTCATTGAGAATAAACATTTTTTCTTTGCTTTTACCATATACCAGAGATGCATGATCTATTTAAAGGAAGAGTTATATTCTATGTTTCCATTTTGGCCAAAGCAGCTATGCTAAGCACAGTTATAGAGGACATTTTAAGTGTTTCTTAATGAAGGGCAATGGCCACTTTTCTCTCAAAAAGGTTGGCCTTTGCCAGCACACTCACCTTTACAGTGATTTTCATCCCAAGGGTATGCACAGTTCTGAACACCGTTACAGACTAAAGAATTATTGATGCACATGTTGCTGTGGCAGAAGAAAGTGCTACCTGTGCAGGGAGCTGCAGGAAAGAAGAAGTTTGTTGCTAAGAACTCATCCTGGTTTACTGACCCTTCCTCCTTCCATGAGTACCCTCTGTACTAGAGACGCAGTAAGACAAGGGCCAGTACTCTCTGAGATGGTCTGAGGTAAACACTTTTTACTCCAGCTGGGTGCCAAATGTCATTTTTAGTGTAATGAGAGTATGAATACATTTGCCATGGTGCTTACAGAACTAGCATACAGCCTGGTAAGTTTTTTCAAAATGTTAAAAGAAAATGTTGGTGAGGATATGGAGACTCTGGAACCCTTGGTGCACTGCTGGGGGAAATGTAAAACAGTACAGCTGCTATGGTAAACAGGATGGGGTTTCCCCCAAATTCCCACCGATTACTGTCTGCTCCATCAATTCCACGCCCAGGTGCATACCCCAAACACCTGAAAGCAGGGGCTCGAACACAGAGTACACCAGTGATCATGGCAGCATTAGTCACAAAGCCCATAGCAGCATTATTCCACCAAAAGGTGGAAACAACCTAAATAAATGTCTGTTGATGGGTGAATGGATAATTGCAATGAGGTACACACATAAGTAATGGACTATTATTCAGGATTAAAATTCAGAAGAAAATTCTGACAAATGCTACAACATGGATGAATCTTGGAGACAACATGCTTGAAAGAAGTCAGACACGAAAGAACAAATTATGTGAGTCCAGGTATATGAGGTACCCAGCGTGTCAGTTCATTGAGAGGAAAAGAGAACATCAGCTACCAGGATCCAGCAGAAGAGGGGAATGGGGTGTTTAATGGGACAGTTTCAGCTGGGGATGATCAAAAACTTCTGGAAATGGATAGTGCTGATGGGTGCACAAAGATATGAATGTACCTAGTGCCACTCAACTATGCACTTAAAAATGGTTAAAACGGCAAATTTTATGTTACGTAGATTTTACCAGGAAAAAAAAAATCACTCCTTGGAATTTGTAAATTAAATTTTTTTAAAATGATGAAGATATATGGACTATATACCATGTAACTTCGTGTTTTATGTAAACTGTTCTTCAGCCTGAAATGTCTCCTCTTTCCTTCCTGGTGACTACCTGCTCATCTTTCAAGATCACTGAAAATGCAGCCCTCTCTGTGAAGATTCCCTCAATTCTCCTAGGTACCTAGTGTGACTCCTGCTCTAAGATGTGCTTCTATTTAACACTTCTCCTGTATATGTAAACATTTGTTAAACTACATTGTGACTCAGTGTGTTTACTTCTGTTAAGAAATAAAGTCCTGGATTGGAGACAAAAGTACCAACATAGTAATAGTGTGTTTTTCAGTATAAAGACATACACACAAGAATCTGAAAGCCAGGAAGCATGATGGCTTTTCTCTCACATTCACAGAAGCCCGTAAAAATCAACTAATCATTGTGACTTCCAGAAATATAATAAAGCAAAATGTATTTCCTAAAAAATTCTACATTTAAGATAGGTATCTCATCAAAGAAAGAAAACTGAATTCCACTCTCTATTATACTGATAGACCTCAAATATTTTTATATATTTTTTAAAAGTTTATTTTCAAGATGAAAAGAAATACATAAAATTTTATAGGACTAATAATAACTGGATTTCCTCCCCCAAATATTATCTTTTTAAAAAACAAATATACAATGAACCTTATCAAAACAGTGAATTTAGTGTTTCTTTCCCCTCTAAAGAGAAGGCTCTCTCTTTAGGTTACAAACACAGGAAGTTTCGGAACACAACACAATACACACTGTCCAACTGCATCACCAGTAATAAAACCGACAGTTTGGCAAACACAAACAAACAAGACTGTTTGGTATCCACCTGCTTGACCCCCCTTTGTCTATTTCTCAATTTGGCTCTGAAGATGGGCTGTAAAAATAGGTATTTATTGAGACCCCAGGAATATTATCAAAAGGACAAGAAATAAGTGTCAGTGGAGATGTGGAAAAATGGAACCCCTTGTGCACTGTTGGTGGGAATGCAAACTGGTGCAGCTACTGTGGGAAACAGTATGGAGGTTTTGAGGTTCCTCAAAAAGTTAAAAATTAAAAATAGAATTACCATATAATCCAGCAATTTCACTCTTGGATATTTATCCAAAGAAAATGAAAACACTTATTCAAAAAGATAGAGACACCCCTATGTTCACTGCAACATCATTAACAATAGTCAAGATACAGCAGAAACTTCAGTGTCCATAAATGGATGAATGAATAAAGATGTAATACATAGGGGCGCCTGGGTGGCTCAGTGGGTTAAAGCCTCTGCCTTTGGTTCAGGTCATGACCCCAGGGTCCTGGGATCGAGCCCCACATCAGGCTCTCTGCTCAGCAGGGAGCCTGCTTCCTCCTCTTTCTCTGCCTGCCTCTCTGCCTACTTGTGATCTCTGTCTGTCAAATAAATAAATAAAATCTTTAAAAAAAAATGTAATACATATATAAATTGGAGTAATGGATGGAACTAGAGGGTATTATGCTAAGCGATATAAGTCAATCAGAGAAAGATAATTATTGTATGATCTCACTGATATGAGGAATTTGAGAAACAAGACAGAGGATCACAGGGGAAAGGAGGGAAAAATGAAACAAGACGAAACCAGAGAGAGACAAACTGTAAGAGACTCAATCTCAGGAAACAGTGTTGCTAAAGTGGAGGGGGATGGGGGAATGGGGTGGCTGGGTGATGGACACTGGGGAGGGTATGTGCTATGACAAATGCTGTGAATTGTGTAAGACTGATGAATCACAGACCTGTACCCCTGAGACAAATAAAACATTACATTAATAAAAATGAAAATGTTTCTACAAAACAAACAAAAACTGGAGTATTACTGAGCCATAAAAAAGAGTGAGATCTTGCCATTTGTGACAACATGGATAGACTGAAAAGGTATGCTAAGTGAAATTAGTTAGAGAAAGAGAAATACATATGATTTCACTTATATGTGGATTCTAAAAAAACAAAACAAATTCACAAACAAAACAGAAAGACACATAGATATGGAGAACTAATGGTTGCCAGAGGGAAGGGGATGGGGAGACAGGACTAATTAGGGGAAGGGGACCAAGAGGAACAGTCTTTCAGTTATAAAATAAGTAAGTCACAGGGATGTAATGTACAGCACAGGGAATATAGTTGATAATATTGTAACAACTTTGTATTGTGACAGATGAAACCTAGACTTATTGTGGTGATCATTTCATAATGTATGTAAATATCAAATCACTGAAACTAATACCATATTGAATGAATGTCAGTTATTCTTCAATTAAAACAAAAAATAACATCCAAAATTGCTTTGCGATTAGAGGGCAAATATATAATCTCTTTAAGGCAGAATCCCCTAAAGGTAAAAGTCACCCAAGTTCTAGTTCAGCAGGCTAATCATCTACGATTAATTACTATGAGCCAGGATTTGTGAAACCCTTCTCCTTCCCCATTATAAACTAAATTGAGTTTCAGCAAGAGTTTTATCCAAATACAATTAAATATTCTCTGTAAAAAACTTTTAGACTTTCTTATTTGCTGGGTACTTACCCACTCCTGTTCAAGTATAATAACCCCTAGGTGGCTCTAATGACTCAAGAATTTAAAATAAAATACTAAGAACTGTGAGTTTGGGAAATAGTGCTATGAAACAGAGAGAAGAGATAATGATGGACTAGTAATTAATAAAAATTGTTTCTGTTATTAGTTAACCTAACTTAAAATTTTAACTGACTCCCTGGGTCTCTGCTTCCTCTTTTTAAATGAGTGGGATGGACTACCGGGTATTTCAGACATCTGGTTCTCAAAATGAGACTGGGGCACATGGGTGGCTCAGTCAGTTAAGTGTCTGCCTTCAGCTCAGGTCTTTTTTTTTTTTTTTTTTTAAGATTTTTTTTTTTTTTTTTGATAGACAGAAATCACAAGTCGGCAGAGAGGCAGGCAGAGAGAGAAAGAGAGGAGGAAGTAGGCTCCCTGCAGAGCAGAGAGCCCGACGCAGGGCTCGATCCCAGGACCCTGAGATCATGACCTGAGCTGAAGGCAGAGGCTTAACCCACTGAGCCACCCAGGCACCCCTCAGCTCAGGTCTTGATCCCAGTGTCCTGGGATCAAGTCCCGAGTTGCGGGGGAGGGTCCCTATTCAGTAGGGGGTCTACTTCACCCTCTCCCTTAGCCCCTCCCCACCATTCGTGTTCTCTGTCTCTCAAATAATAAAATCTTTAAAAAAGAAAAAAAAGACCCCCCCCTTTTTTTTAAAAGATTTTATTTACTCATTTGACAGAGAGAGATCACAAGTAGGCAGAGCAGCAGGTACAGAGAGAGAGGAAGTGAAGCAGGCTCCCCGCTGAGCAGAGAGCCTGATGTTGGGTTTGATCCCAGGACCCTGAGATTGTGACCTGAGCCGAAGGTAGAGGCCCAACCCACTGAGCCACTCAGGTGCCCCTCAAATAAGAAAATCTTTCTTTTTTTTTTTTTTAGTTAATAATCCATATTTATTTGATTTGATTTTTTTATTCATTTAATTTTTAATTTTTATTTAATTAACATATAATGTATTATTAGCCCCAGGGGTACAGGTCTGTGAATCGACAGGTTTACACACTTCATAGCACATACCTTTCCCAATGTCCATAACCCCACCACACTCTCCCTACCCCTCTCCCCCCCGCAACCCTCAGTTTGTTTTGTGAGATTATCAAATAATAAAATCTTTTTTTTTTTTTAAGATTTTATTTATTTATTTGACAGACAGAGATCACAAGCAGGCAGAGAGGCAGGCAGAGAGAGAGGAGGAAGCAGGCCCAATGTGGGGCTTGATCCCAGGACCCCGGGACCATGACCTGAGCCGAAGGCAGAGGCTTCAACCCACTGAACCACCCAGGTGCCCCCAAATAATAAAATCTTAAAAACAAAAATAAAATCGATGAGACTGAAATTAGTGGTCTCAATCATGTTGATACTTCTATTCTCAGAAGAATCATGTATATAACCAGTAATTTACTCAGAG